ATCTGTACGCCGAGCCAACCAGCGTTTCCAGAAGGGTTCGTAACCGAGATCGCGGGGTTCCACGTACACCATACCGCAGCGTGAGATTGTGGCCGGGGAGGCGTATTGTAGGTCACCCACTTCGAACAACAAGGCACAATGAGCCTGCAAGCGAAGACGTTCTCCATTGGCCAGTGTAAGCAACCGGTTGTCATCCATGACTGAGTTCATATTTTCTACCCACAGAGCGTCAACGTCACCATCAAAGAGGATATACATTTGTTCCTGAAATGGTAGGCAATAAGGCAACTGCCAAACTATTTTTGAAAACTCGAAACCGGCATGCAAAATCTGAAATTCCATTGTATTTCAAAGTGTTAGAGAAGTTTTAGGGATAATTAGCAAAATGTAAACTATGAGGTGGAACGCTTTGCAATGAAAAATACGATGCTTGTACCTGCTTCAAATCACAGTTATTTGCGTGGCGACAGGATGGTTTCCGTAGCAAGCGGAAGTCGTCCTTTTGACTATAACCAGTGGTTTGTATAAAGGCGTCGCATTGTCATGGAAGTGTAGGGTACTTAATGCAATATACGAAACAATCAACGATTCCATCCCTACCTACTTTATCATCACTCTAACTGAAATGTTATTCAGCCGAGCTTGTCTTCTATCTACTGTTCAACCACCGGGTTTGCCACCTTAATGGAGGTCTCCAAAAACAGTTACGAATTGCGACAGTACTCATGCAAATGTCCCAAAATGGTAAACTAAACGTATCCAGGATTAACTTACCCAATAGGACAATAATACCAGAGGGGTTGGATTTTATTCTTATTCAATTCTAGAAAAAGACTGTGGGGTGATAAGTCAGACGCACACTAACAGTACGGTAAATGGTTGAAAACTGTATAGCCTACTATATGGGTAGCAGTAGCAAGTACGAAATACTAATATCTGAGAGATCCGTAACCTCATCTTTTGCTAAGTGGATCAAGTCATATTAAATTGAACAGGACGAAGATCACGAGATTAGCAGGATTTATCGAAGTCATATAAATTTCGCGACCACTTATTCAACTGCAAACGGTCGTTGCCTATTAATAAGATAATAAAATAACTTACCTATCAGGTTGCACCCCTCTAGGCGGACACTTAATTGGACAGTTAGTTTATCTTATTAATAGGCAGCGACCAAATGTGAAATAAGCCCACGGGCAGAATTAGTATTCAGTTGCTTGATATTCAAAATGACCCGAAGCTTTGCACTCTAGGTTATTAACGTGAAACGCCTAAGGTACAATGAGTACATGCTATTGACTTTACAGTAAATAATTAGAAGTACTGTTTTTCCTACTATTTGATAAACTAAATATAAATATTCAATTTAATTATTTCCTACTTAAATTTATTCACCGATGTCGTCGTAAGGATACGTATCCATTCCGTTGGTTATCGCAGAGCCGCGCTCAAGTAGCGGAAAAAAGTAAGAATACGAACATCTTCATGACTTTACTTAAATAGTTGGCGACCTGTCCAACGTCAGTTTTGACGACCACAGATAAAAATCCCTATGAACGCGGGAGGCCTGTCGGGATGTGAAGAAAATGTAATAAAGAAGTAATCGTTTTACCGCAATTCGTGTTATTCGCGGTCTTTGCGAGGCCGAATTTCGTCGAAGTCGTCGGCGCCACCATCACCACTCATACCAACCAAGGTTGGTTCGGCCTTCTAGTTACTAACTAAATGTTGCGTTACAGGAATTTTTGTATGTAGTATCACATGTGATGTACATTTGGGATTGGGTATGGCTAATAGATATCGTATCATAAGTGAGAAATCGCCATTCTGGTTTTTCATGCGATTCGGTACTCCGGTTTATGCTATGCCCTCGCATGTGAGGGCTCTAGGATGACCTCCAAGACCCCCACTAAACCAGCATGTACAGTAACTTGATTGACGAGCGCCAATTCATCATAACATATGAAGTATGTATTAAGGAGTCTCCAATAATAAACACAAAAGACGTAAAATAGTAATTTAGTCATGAAATACTTTCCATGCTAGAGATTTCATGCAGTATTTGGAGGAGTCCTTGTGCTAAACGTTCGCATGAAGGCAATTCTTTACGTCATAGTAATATCTTGATTAGATGCAACCTGAATGCCTAGACAGAAGCCAATGGTCGCAACTTTGAACTGTTTCAGTCTAAGGCTATGTTACTAGATTTACACAGAAGTAGTTTGAATATTTGACTGAAAAATTAAAATATGCCTATCTCACTTATGTTCTTCCTCAAGAGCATTTCAAAAATAACCGTTGCCCATGGACTTGGAAGATGACGAATCATTTATAACGTTACGCTTATTGTAAACGCTGGTCACTGTACTTGGTCGTTTTCTGCTACTAAGCCCAGAGCACAAACACCAGAAACAATATACAGACTTAACAGCTAACTTTTCTGTGTTTGGCCCGTATATTGAGCACTATCAAACAGCTATGCACGTTATCATTGCAAAATGGGATTCGTTTTGAATGGCAGACTCACTAAAATGACAAGAAAACAAAGCAATTTCTCAAGGACAATTACTTCGAGTAAACATTACCTTGCGATCGGTAATTGTGTTGATATCTCTGAAGATCTTCGATAAGAGGCCGTCAGTCCAGTCCCTAGTGTTGGGATCCAGCACACCGTAAAGTTCTTCTACACTCCGATCTTTCGGATTCATTGTGAAGAGTTTGGTCGGAGTACCCAGGGCTTCTTGAGCCCTGCATAGACTCTGAATAATTACCGTCTTCCCTCCACTAGTGGGGCCGACAACCATGGTGGTGTGTCGTGTGTGCATGGTCTCGTACAGCTGGACAACCTTGTCTACTTGATGCGGCAGTATGACGTAATTCTCTCTTCTCAGATACTCCTTAACCGCCTGATTAAATTCGGGGTAACCCACTCGTGGACACTGAACACCCGGAAACAGGTCCTGGATGAGGTCAAGGAAGAGTTGGACGTCATCGTAGACTAACTTCGGTAAGTTCATATCACGCATTGACCGCATGAGGAGATTTTCTTCGCTGAGATCGGGCTCACTACGCCGTAGATTTCCTGCCATGATCAAAACCGATTTGAGTGCGCGTAAACCAAAGTCGTAGTGATATTGTTTTGAAAGCTGTTCTTCAGCCAGCTTGTAAAGGGTAGTCATCTTCTTCGCCAGTATCTTAGCACTGGAAAATCCCTGTGAGAAGAGCATAATCTCACAAATGAGTTGCATGTCTGGCACGACAACAACCACCTGACGAAACAGGGTCTTCACTGATTCCGGCAGTTCCGTCCGGCCGGCATAGCCGGGATTCATGGTAATGAAAATGCCCACTTGTCTCTTTAACTTTATATCCTCATCCTCAAATCTGAATACACTGGCTTTTTGCATCAGTGCTGTCTGGATAATCTTTAATTGCGTCGAAATGACAGACAATACGGAGACTTCAATGCGGTTGAACTCATCGAAGCAGCCCCAAGCCCCGCATTGGCAGAGTCCAGAGAAGATTTTGCCTACAGTTCGATAGTCCATACTCTCTCCACAGTTTGTCACTAGACAGAAAAGGCCCAACGCTTTCGCCAAATCCTTCACAGTTTCTGTCTTGCCTGTACCGGCGGGTCCAGCTGGAGCACCACCCATGTACATTGAGAGAGCTTGGGTCAGTGTTAGGTAGATGCGGTCGGTCAATGGCGTAATCACTAGACGTCCACTTAGTCCCATGTACTCGTAGCCGTAGTCGAACAAACCGTTGCACTGGTAGACCTTTAAGTCGTCCAGGCTATGCACCCAATAGAATCTCAACTGGGATTCCCACTCGAAGTCTGTTGCTTCCATAATGCTGTCACGAATGAAACCGTCCACGATATCTCTCAGATGTACGTCAATGATGAGCATGGTGGTTAGCTTGGTTCGGTCATTTTTGGTCAGTTCGCCGCGCACCCGAGCAACTACTTCATTCAGCTGTTGGTGCAGCTGCTGCCCATAGTGCTTCATAGCCAACTTGCCACCGGAGCTCATTTGCTTAAAGACATCTTCAACCTCCCAAGTCGACCAGATTTGACTAGCTGCCTGGATTATCATGCCCTGGTAGTCTAGCATCCAGTCCACTCTGCATGGGGAAGGAGTAAGCAGAAATAGCGTGTTATTGAGCGGATCTAATGGAAAAAAAGATGACGATAAAAGCATAGATGGCTGTTTTGTGGTTAAGGAGGGGGGCCTTGAGGCAGCAACCACCGAACATAACGAAAAACAAGGCAATCGATGATACTGGCTTGAGAGACCATAATATAGAGAAAAGGAGAAAAATAAAATGGGTGACCATATGATCCTGGGTATACGGAAGCTGATTATCAAGGACAAACAATCTGAAAATATGTCACAAAGTCCACTTAGAAGAGAACAGACAGAACGAGAGAGGAATGAACTAAGAAACGAAATATGACCAGTAAGTTTTCATCGAGTGACAGGAATGACGCACGAACTAAGTTTTCCAGATGGTGTTCCTAAAAATGTTCAATGCCGATGAAACACAATAAGAAACCTAAAAGCCAAGGCGCACTGATCACCGGCAGTAGCTATAAAGCAGATGCTCTTTTGGTTTTCTTTTGTCACGATTTTTTTCCGTAGGATTTCCCCTAAC